CAATACCTCTTATCGTAGTTCCAGTTATCCTCTTTTCAGTATTTGTTTCACAGAAGCTGATTAATGAGTTCCAACATCAACTTGGGAAATTCATTGTAGCTTTTGCTGTTCTCTTTGCCTCATATGTGAGTGTACTTTTCTTATCACGTTTAATATCAGTGTCATAGCTTCAGACAAATGTAATTTGTGTTAAACTTACGATCATTATAATAGAAATGATCGATATCCTTGAGCCCAATATATCGGTTACCAAACCCTTCATTGCTGAAGAATAAGAATACCATCAGAATCTTCAAGAATAAAAATCAACATAAATTGTGGAGTACTTAATTTAGCTTGGACATGTTATATAGTTCATATGATGGATTATGCTACTCGAATAACCATTGAGTTGGCCAGTAAAAATTTATAGGCACTTGAAACCTAGTTGGCTAACTGTGGATCTTCTTTTGACTGTTAATATTACCATGAAGGTCATCCATTTTGTCTTAGTGCAATAATTTAGGAGGCTGTTTTTCTCGGACTGATGTCAAGTCAATGTACAATTTGCATTGTCTTGGGAGAAGGCTTGGCTGATAGAAGAATATATTCTTGAAGGAACATAATTGAGCTTCTATTACTTGCTTTTCTATATTCTTGAAGGAATATATTCTCTAAAAGTTACATAATAGTGTTGTCATGGAGCCCCAAATTCAGAAACTGCAAATTTCAAGGATCTGTGTGATAGAACCTTAAAAACAGCTTTAAATATCCTATACATGAAACCCAATTATATAGTAAATTCAATCTTAAAGGATCTCCTAAAAGAGCCCTAAGACTTTTTTAGCTCGAGAAATTAGAATACCAAGCATGTTAACCCCCCAAAATGCTAAAAATTCATACGAAACAAGCCAAAACTAATCAGCATTTCAAACTCTGCCCAGAATATGCTACCAGTTGGATTGCAGGAGTGCTGATGATGTCAATACATGTGGAACTTTATGTTTGCCATAACTTTGTTATTATGATTAATGGATAATATTGGCAGTGTTGGTCTTTGGTATGTACAGGACATTGTTATTCTCTTTCTTACTTCTGGCAGAGATCCAGGAATTGTTCCTCGTAATGCACGTCCTCCTGAACCAACAGATAATGGTAATTCCTCGCTCAGGTTATCTTCAGAGTTGTCAGGGATTTATGGTGGCTCAAGTTTACCACCAACCAAAGATGTCTTTGTAAATGGCACTATTGTGAAGGTCAAGTATTGCAATACATGCATGCTATATCGCCCCCCTCGTTGCTCCCACTGCTCTATCTGCAACAACTGTGTGGAGCGCTTTGATCATCATTGTCCCTGGGTTGGACAGTGTATTGGAAGAGTATGAATTTTCTTTTTCTTTTTCATATACTACCCTTTTCCGTAGCTTTCTTTTTTTTCCTATTAAATTATCCATGGATTAAGTGCAAGTTCTTTTTAAATTAGATTTGATGCCAAGCATCCTGAGCTAATGAGAGTTTTAAGGTGTTAGTATTTTTATGCCTGATTAATGACATTAAATCCCTGAAGTCCACAGTAGTTAAATTATACTTGGTAGAAAAGAGGTACTGAATAACGTTGGTGTCTAAACACTTACGCAATACTCAATAAAGCAACTTAGTATGTCTCTTAATTTATAAATTGCTGTTCTGATGTCAAATTTTGGTACTACTTTTTTTGAACAATTAGCACTTCAAAAATCCTCAAGTCTTATAGTTTGAGCATGAATATTTCAGGAAATTCGATATAACTCATGGATGCAACATAGGATGGGAAGAGACACTATTATCATAGCTCCGTGTGATTTATAATTAGGGATTTGAATTCATACTTTTTAAGCCATGTTAGATGGAAAGTGATGTGCTGTAGTGATTGAGACATGACAAGGGGATTTGGATCAGTTTAGGCATGCTGGTTTTAAAGATTTTTTTGGACTAAACATAGAGTTCTGATTGCAGACTTGACTGATTTTAAAGTAAGCTTAAATCTGATCCAGTCAGCCCTCTTTTGGGTTTTGGGGATTTGAACTTTATAGTGTTTCCAGCTAGAATTGCCTTGTTGCTGCTATTTTTCCATGGGGATGACAGACAAACTAGGAGAGGTTTGAGCTGAACATAAAATGAGGATGGAGGTAAATACATTTGTGTTTTTTGTCCGTCTATGTTTTCTTTTGGATGTTGCTGATAACCCGTCTCTGCACTGTCATTGACAGTTGTTGTCAGACTAATCCATATGACACTCACTCGTCGCACTTTTTCACAAAGAAAACAACCTACTTGAATGATTGCAAAGCAAAATGTCTTGGTTATCCACAAACACAATTTTTGGTGGACAAAGAAAAACATAATTTGCACTGAAAATATTCGAACTTTATCAACAACCAGAAAGCACAGTGCCGCAAAGGACGTAGGATTAGGGAAAGAGAAAACTGTCCCAGGAACTCTTGACAAATGCAAAGTGATTGGTTTAATCATTGGTGGTTATTTTGAAGTTACTAGATGGGAAAGGATCCCTCCTATGTGATCCAATGGTCCTCAGGGGTTGAAATAATTATCAAAAAGTTGCCATAGTGTTTTCTACTGTCAACCCAATGCTAGCCTGTGGTAAGCAAAAATCTTCATCATGCCACTATAAAATTGGTTCTTGCACTGTTGTGATGGGAACTATAAAAGACTCGTTTTAGCATAATCTTTTTACGTGGTAAATAGGGGTTGTTGCTACTTAGAAACTTTACATTTGAGAGCCTAACCGTTGGTTTTCAAATAATTGTTACTTACATTGGTGTGTTTGTGGAGGTTTACTGTGCTGTATAAATTGCACGTTCCAGGCCTATTGTCAGTTGACACAATTGTGCCTGCGAAAATGAAAATCTTATTTATAGATCTTGGAAGCAAACACTAGCTGTTTATTTTCACATTCATTATAGGGTCTCATGGGCTATCGTGGACTTGGCAGTGAAGTTTAGGTCTAGCTGGAGCAGAGTCTTAGCCCAATACAACTCGACTTCACAAATGTCTGAGCGAGGTTTGGACCCAACAAAAGAATCCTAGATTGTGTCATCCTTGACTTGCTATTGTGCAAAGTTTCAATTACTATTATTCATTGGTGGTGGCATTTATGGGATTCCCTAGCCCTTCTAAGTTCTAGATAGCCTCTCCACTTTGTGCCCCTAAATTTGTGAGTCATGATAGTCGCAATCCTCCTGATGTTGTCGTCAGCTTCCTAAGTGTTGGAGATGTTAATATGATGGAGGGATGAGAATCTTAGTGTCGGTGTTGGTTGAGGTTGTTTTCTTCTTCCAGAAACATTACCAGTCCAAGTTACAAATTTATTTGCTGGAGTCTGTACTGCTTCCATTTTTCTTTAAGAAGGATCTTTTTTTATTGTCAACAAACTCCTTTCTCTTGTGCAAAGCCTGATGATAGAATTTTTTTTTTCCCCCTCCTTCCCTATCCACTAGAAACACCTATTGATCTAGCATAAAAGAAACACAAAGCAACACTGGACAAAATTGTTAAACTTAGTCCTATCGACTATCTAGTGGCATGAGCAGCACCCATAGGAATGGAGGTATCCTCAGAAGCAACCTCGTTATGATCCTGACTGCAAGGTTTTCTTCTATTGCTTCTACAGTGGTGGAGAATAGTGTACAGATGGAGGGATATGTATGGGGGAACAGAATGTTAGCCATCTTATCTCTAGAGCTTATTCTTGACCATTCATCATTTTAGATGGATGGTTTAAACTAAGCAATTATTAAAATTATGCACTTTTATTGGCTTGAGCAAGGCCATGTAGGCTTCTGTCCGATTCTGTTATTATGCTGAACACATTTATTTCAAGCTCCAGCCTGGTCAGTTGTTGGCACAGATTTTGCTAGCATAAAATTTCATTGTTCCCAACTTTTACTTCCAAAGAGAAGAATATATGCAGTCAAATACTGTCTTGATGTCATACTAGAGGTAGCTATTTCTTTACTTTATCAAAAAGTAGCAGGTTTGTTCTTCAAGGTTTGAAACTTTTCATCAAAGGATTAATTTCTTAAGATGAAATGATAACAAACTTCTGATTGTATTTTTGTTCTGATTCACCTTGCATTATTCAAGTACCATTTGTACCTTTGCATGACATTACTCTTACCACCATGCTTCTCCGATGACATATAATCTAGTTAATTAAAAAAGAAAAGCATTAAATCATCAATTAAATACAGACACCACATTTTTCATCTTTATGCCTCACTTAGATTCATTTTTTTATTCAAGCAGAGGAATTATCATTTCTTTTTTATGTTCGTGTCCTCCACGACCATCCTGTGTCTATATGTCTTTTCCTTCTGCTGGGTTAACATCAAAATGATTATGGACGCATATGAATGCAATCTTTGGGGAGCTGTTGTGAAATCACCTGTTTCTGGCTTTCTCATCATTTATACATTCATAGGAGCTTGGTTCGTTGGAGGCTTGACAACCTTTCACATTTACTTAATTTGCAGCAACCAGGTTTGCTTTTTCTTTCTCAAGTCATGGATAGCTGGTCTGTTTTGTATACTGCACTTACATAAACATTAATGCTTGAACTCATTGTACTTGCAGACGACATATGAGAATTTTCGATATCGCTATGATGGCAAAATGAATCCCTATAACCATGGGTGTTTTCATAATGTGAAGGAGGTCCTCTTCTCAGGAATTCCCAAGTCGATGAATAATTTTCGAGCAAAGGTGATAGAGGATTCAGCCAGGTTCACCTCATTACATTCTACAGGGCAAGTTATGCCTCCAGATCTGTCAAAGCCAAGCTTCGACCTCGAGATTGGTGTGAAGAGGCATACTGTGTCTACGGAGGAGCTTGAAGACATACAGAACCAATTCGAGATCAGGCCGTTGGAAAGATGCAACACCCAATCATCACATTCGATCTGGACTGACGACAAAGGTAATTGGGACGATGAACTGGTTGCTGGATTTGGAACCAAACACAATTGGGAAAGAACACATGATATAGAAGCATCGTCTGCTGAATTTGGAACAGAAAGTGGATTCGGCGACACGTTTCATTCAGAAGCAGCAACGTAGTTGCTAATCAAGCTAGGCGGAATCCAATCTAGGAGTTGATGGACTTGGAATGAAGCCTTTGTCTGAGTCGAGCTGCGAAAAGCAGGTGCCTGTAATCTTCACTCTTGCTCCGAGGGCTTCCGACAGGAGTAATATGATGCTGTATCAACTGTATACTGTAGTTGACCTCAATTTAAAGATGTTTGTAAGGGTCTGCATGAGTCGCTAATTTGTTGGTAATTTTATCTTTCTATTTTTGTTGTGCACCTGTAGAACTGACATGATTCTTAAACTGCTCAAGGCCAGGGTGAAGTAAAACTTGATAATTGTGGATCTTTCTTTATAGACTATGTGCCATCATCCCGACCAAAATCATTGAGCTGGAGAAAGACGGATGAAAGATCTGCATGAACCAAAAGGTATAATCAATCTCTACTACAGGTGTAAGCTTCAAATCTTGTGTTTCCACCTTATTCTCGCTTGTTGATGTTCACCAAAAAGCCTAATTTTTGCATATTACTGCTAACCTACAGGAAAAGACGAAATGTTAGATTAGAGCCAAAGAACTAAGGGGGAAACAGATGATGCATGCATTGGACCATTCTGGGGTTCCTCTCCAACAAAAGTTTCTCTAAGCCTCTGGTTGAAGAGAAACCTTTGAGGGAGAGAGATCCAAGAAAACCATGCTCCTTTTTTTTTTGTCTTTCCTATGATGTCTTCCATTGGAGGTCTGTCTATATGGGTATTTATAGGCCACATAGCACCGGCCTAAGGGATTAGAAATAATAGCCTGTGGAAAGTGATGTGTTGTTCACATCCCCCCTTCTTTTTTTTTTGTCTATCACAACCTTATCCTCGTTTTGCCTCCACATAAGAAAACTCCAAGCTGTGGCTATTCACCTCATCGAAAGGGCGAGGACTGTGGCCTGTGGAGAGCCACATCCGCCCTACACGCCTCTCTACGCACGCCAAGTGACAACAGCTATAGTTTGTACTTTGTGGTGTTCAACCCATGACTCATTGCTGGAATCATCGAGTGAACGACATGCAGTGAATGTGAAGTCTCGGCAAAGACAACAAACATACATACATGCATTTGACCAATCCTGCAAGCTATAATTTTTTTTCTTCTTTTTTTTACAGAAATAGAACAAAAATAGATTGATTATTTAATCAATCTATTACAAGCTACTCCTCATCAAATTATAAAATACATTCCAACTCCGATGGCTAATTATTTTTTCAACCATTAGTAATATGACCAATATTTTAGCAAAAGATGCAGTTTAACGTGCACTCTTATTACCCTTTCTAGAGTTTTCTTTTCGTAAATTGTATCACTAGGTTAGAGATGTGTTTGTACAGTTTGAAAAGAAACTAAGGTGGTTGATCCTTCTTATTGTTTCCGAAGAAAAAAAAATTAAAATAATAAAATAGAGATTAATAATCAATAATATACTATAAAATCTTTACAAGATTAATGTGATTCGATAAATCTTTATTTACATCCATAGATAAAATTAAATTCTTTATCATGTGAAATCAATTATGAGACATTTGAATTATTATCACTCGATTCCAAATTTCTTACGTACTCTCTCGCATAAACTTTAAAAAATTTATATATATTTCTCTCTCTATTTCTATAAATTCTAGGTAGCATATTCTACAACACTTATAGAGAAACCCAAGAGTATTTCTCACATCTTGTTCTCTTTCATTAAAATCTAAAAAATACATCAGATAAAAAATAAATTCTTAATTATCAATTTTTCTTGTACTAGAATTTTCTATTCCCCCGGGTGATGATGAGTTTTAAAAATTATAAAATATTTATCAACACTTATTTAATATTTTCACAATGTATTCATTCTCCGTCAGTCTCCACCTCAAGTCTTCTTAGTACTAGCCGATCACGCTTGTCTCAACCCAATTTTAATAGTCATCGACTCTGTTTCCTACTAGTTCCCTGAGGAGGAATGTAGGAACATATTTTTCTGATCACCCTCTTTCTAAACCATCCAACAGGACTTTGTCTAGAATAAAATTTGACCCCATACCTCCTTCAACTACAATAAATGGTATGTATAGGTCGGTAAATAATGGAGGAAGGAGCACATTTATCTCTGAAAACTACATCATTTCTGGACATCCAGATCCTCCGTGCAATGATGGTTCTAAGAGACTAGTAATCTAGAGAATATGGTTAATCTATATCAGATTGGTTCGTGAGATCTGTGTACAAATTAATTTTTTTTATTTGAGACTATTTTCTTCAAGGTAATTTGTTTAAGCCTATGTCCAAGTTGAATGAATCGACATTTGATTCATTCAACTTTGACATGTACTTTGAATGAGCCGACACGAAGTAGAAGTTTCGACAAGACTTTCCTCCCTGCCTCAACGAATCATACACGTCGTTGACGATCGGAGGAACTCTTGCTGGCCACGACCAGCAGCAGCAGATACACCCACTCCCTGCCGGAAGAAGTGCCCGCTGTTACCAACGTGCAGAGTTGGATCATCTGTTTCTTCTTCGTTGTCGAAAGACGAAGTTGTATGGCGATTCAAAATGTCCGAGTCTAAATTAACAATGGCTGTGCTATTTCAGTATTGCATTTAAACCGAAAAATTCAATATATTCGAACACAGTCTTGATTGCTTTTGCTCTATCTATCCTTCCTTTCCGTTGTTCATGGTGAAACAGCACATCTTTCTTTTTTGCTTTGATGATCTCTTTTGCGCTGTAGGAATAATGAGCTGACGTTAAGCTACTAAGTCTGTGGTTGGCATGGCATTTTTGGTCTGTCAAGTGCTTGTGCCCATCCATCCACGATTCCTGCGTCCTGGAAACTTATGCTTTTCCTTAGCCACTCACCGGATTCAACTTAATTTGGGCAATCCATGTCAAATCTAATTCCTCTTTCTGCTGTAGAAAGCTTATCTTATTGTCGTGAGAAAATTCTCCTCCGGCACCTGTTGGCCTCCGTTCCTCACTCTCCTTCCCCAGTCACCAGCTTGATGAAAAGATATATACCATCTTCTTGACCATGCATCCGTAGATTTATGAGCGCTGCTATTGATTTATTAATAAATTAAATTTGATTAGTTTAAAATATTTTATGTATATAATAATATTTATATGAAAAAATAATAATTTCATTCTTTATTGAAGATCGGAAGTGATAGGAATAATTAGTCTCGTATTGGTTCAAAAGTAAACAAACCAAAAACTTATTAGCCCTCCGAGTCAGCCTTCTCAAATACGTATTTTGGAGCTCATGAGTTCTGAAAGGGTAAAATCGTGTAGGTACGTGTATCGTCTAAAGTGGACAATTCCTCGTGAGCCTATTATACTAATGAGGACAAAACTTGACTTATCATATTGACACTAGAAGGAGGGTCCTAAGCCCTTGACTCTCCTATAGGGGGAGCATTGATGAGGATATTTAGTTTCACATTGATTGAAAATTAAGAGAACTAAGAGTTTATAAACCCTTAGGGTTATCCTTATCCTTAGAAGTATTTTTTAGAACTCACGAGTTTCAAAAAGATAAAATAATATATTCATCGACCAAAATGAATAATTACTCATGAGCCTGTCACACCAATAACAATAAGAATATTTATTTTATTTTTCAAATCAAGTCCGAATTGTTATTTTTTTTCAAAGGAAACATCTATTTTTTTTTTAATTTATTTTGTACACTTTAATCCATGTATATTTCCATTCAGAAGTGTGGTAGTTAATTTTTTTATTATATTTTAGTTTTGTTCCAAACCAAAAATCATCAATTTGTATCTGGATAGTTTCTTTCAGAAGCATGTGAAGCTTCAGGCAAGATGTTCATCTTTTATCTTATAGTAGGAACTTGAAGCCGAAAAAAATTCAACTTCTTGAACCTTAGTCCTACATTGAGTGAGGGATTTCTCCCTTCAATTTTTTTCCTTACAAGTTTCATTAAAAGATTAAAAAGTAAGGTTGGCCCAACCCCATTAATATACACTTGAATTTGATAAGTTAGATTTAGGAATGATATATATTTGATTTATTTTATAACAAATCACCCATGTCTACAGTAATTGTCGTTGGATAATTATAAAATTATCCATTTACCCTCTACTATAGTAATCACCACTGCATAAGTATCGCCGCCAAGTGCCGCCCGAGAGTGTACCATGCGTTAACGTGGCATTCACCGACGTGTCGACCGAGTGTGCGCCACGTGACAGCTTGCACCGCTCGCTACTATATTTGTATATTGCCATACGACACTTGCTTATTTGTTGTGTATAATTAATTACAAATAAGCCACTTCCTACTTAACACAGAGGGGTGAAAACAAAATACACCAAAAATTCTGAAAAATAATAATAAAAATAAAAGTCTTCAGAATCTTTACGATTAAAAGAATCATCTCAGTTATATGTTTGGTGACTCCTTGATGACAGTTGCGCATGCGGTTGAGGAATAATAGGCTTATGATAGTATGCACTATCTAATTTTGATTTAATCAAAGATTATTTTATTATTATATCTCCGACACTTATTACAATAAATGCTCGCTGTAGAAAGGCGGAGTTATACCATGAGCAAACTCCTAGTGGAAACAAACGGACATATAGCTGATACGGGCCATGGGCAGAAAGCATGTCTAGCTGCCAAGGCTGGTCTCAGTGCGGAGACGAAGGATTCTTGTGGCCATTGCTGGCGAGATTGATGTGCACGCCCGGGCTGCCGTGGGCGCAGGAGGTGTTGAAGAGCAACGAGTTGTTGACACTCTGCACGTTGCTGTTCACCAGCGACAACATCGGCTGCTGCTTGGTTGCGGCCTTCGTCACCTTTTCCTCGGCGTACGTCTTGTCTTCCGTGTTCTTCACGTCCTCAACCTGGGATTCGCTTTTCGCGTAGTGAACCTGCTGCCTTCTGCTCTGGTAACTGTAGGAGGAACCGAGATCCATGAACGCTCCGACGTTGTGTCCTGCAATGGTGATGGCCTTCATCTTGCGGATATCCTTCTTCTCGAGGGGAGAAGGAGAAGGGAATGCTTTCGTGTCGGTGGGCTGTGCGCTGTGCTTGGAGGAGTCACTGTGGTTGCTGCTGCGGCTGTTCTTTTGCGCCTCCACGACGCCGTTGCTGGAACCGTTGGCGCCACTTTTCTTGGCGTTCTCTTGCTCGACTGTGCGCTTCGGTTCAGGCACCGGATGTGGCACCGGAGTAGAAGAAGGCGGCCGTGTCGAGGTCATCCTGGAGGGCGAGGATGGTGGAGGGGGGGGAGTCTGGATCACCTTGGGAGACTGGGGAGGCGTAGGCGACCGGGCCGCCGCCGTCGCCACAGGCGTTGGCGACGGTGGTCGCTGTGGTGTTGGCGGGGCCACTGGTTGTGGTGATGTAGGTTGTGCCGGCAGTGCGGTCTGAGGCAATGCCCGGGGCTGAGTTGGCGGTTGTGGTGGATCTGATGCTAAAAGTGGTGACCTACCAAGGGCTAGCGATGCTTGGCGAATTGGCGGACCTCGAGGAGGCAGCGCCGGCTGGGGCGGCGGAGATTGAATCTGCGGCTCCATTCGGGCCTGCGAGGCCAGTCGGAGCAACCACGGTCGGCCCGCCGGAGGCTGGTTCGCCATCTCCCTCGCCCTGTGTCACTCGGGGGGATGGTGACAGAAGGGCTCCCCGCAGTCCTCTTTGTAGGTGGGGAGGACTGAGGAGACGTGTGAAACAGC